CATCACCGCACCCCCGTGCCTGCTCTCTGCCCATCCCCCGCAACCCCGTGCCCGCTGCAGGCTCCAACTCAACCAGCCCTTTGCAGCAAGCGATGGTTTTTTCCCCTCGCCCTCAAGCCTAAGTTATAAAAGAGTCGTTTATCCAGAGCTAAGGAGAGGGAAGTTTGCAGCAAAGCATGGCCCAAACCCCCCAGCACCGGCAGAGAAATCACAGCGATCTTAGCAACCGCCGGCCCTCCTCCCTGCTCTAATTAAAGGCTGTTTCCATGTCATCCAACGAGGGTTGAGAGCAGACGCAGAGTTTACAGAGAGAATATTCCAGGCACGCTCTGGAATACAGCTGGAAAGGGGTGGAAAATACAGGGCTATTCTTCTGCCCGCAGCTGGCCGGCTCCACAGCAAGCGCCGCGCCGTGGAAGATGGGTCCTGCCAGCCCCCATGCCCCCCTGCCGCCATCAGTGCTCCACACTGCCCCGGACCCCATCCCCGAACAGCCAAAAGACCTGCCCAAGGAACCCACGGGTGACATCTCCTGAAAAGCCTTTGTGCCATGGCTGGAGCCTGGGACCATCCCGGGAAACCCACCTCCACCTCGACGTGGTCATGGAGCTTCTTGCAGGTGGCCGCGAAGGTCTCCGATGTCCCAAATTCAAAGTACCACAGCTTGTTCTTCATCCTGGGGCACAGAGACGCCTTGGCATCCTGCTCAGGAGCGGTGTCAGCATCCCACTAAGGAGTGGCACCTTGTCTCCGCTGCCCCCAGCCCAGCCAGCAGTGGGATGGGCTGCCAGAGCCGTTCTGGAGCCATCGCGATGGGGACACGAGCCATAGATGGGGACACGAGCCTTTGCAGTGGGGACACAAGCAATCGATGGGGACACGAGCCATCAGTGGGGACACGAGCCATCAACAGGGACACAAGCAATCAATGGGGACATGAGCCATCATGGTGGGGACATAAGCCATCATGATGGGGACACAGGCAATTGATGGGGACACGAGCCATTGTGGTGGGGACATGAGCAATTGATGGGGACACAAGCCATCAAAGGGGACACGAACCATCATGGTGGGGACACAAGCCATCGTGATGGGGACATGAGCAATCGCAATGGGGACATGAGCCACCACAACAGGGACGTGAACCATTGATGGGGACACGAGTCATCGTGATGGGGACACGAGCCATCGCAATGGGGACATGAACCATCACGATGGGGACACGAGGCATCGCAATGGGGACACGAGCCATTGCAATGGGGACATGAGCCATGGCAATGGGGACACGAGCCATTGATGGGGACACGAGCCATTGCAATGGGGACACAAGCCATCATAGGGAGGGACTGCAGGTGTCCCAGCCCCAGGGACCCGTGCTGCAGGACAGGGGTGGCTCAGGCAGAGCTGGCTCCGACACCCTGTGGAGGGGAAGGACGCGGGTGCCGGGTGGTCGCTCACCATGGGAGAGGATGCCTCCACCGGCTCTCAGCAGAGCTCAGGCTGGGCTATCACCTCTCAACAGGGCTGCTGGGGACAGGGTACCCCATGGAGGGGATGTCCCCCACCCCAGCACCCTGCCAGGCAGCCAGGCCCCCGACTGCAGGGGTCAAAGCTGGGCCAGACTTCGAGGGGGAGCTGAATTTCAGAGCAGAGCCAGATGCTTTGGTCCGTTTGGGTTTTATTCTAGCAGGTATCTCTGAACATGGGGACAGGGGTTGCAAACCACTGCTCCTGCTGCTGTCATGCCATTTCCATGCACCCCAAGCGCAGTGGGACAGAGCTGTGACCTGCTGCCTGCCCTGCTCCTGCCCATCCTGGAACTCAGTGCTAATTATAAAGCACGAATGAACGTAATCAGGTGTGCAGCCAAGCTCGAGCAGCCTGCCACAATACATGGCACCCAAAGGAGCACCCCAGACCACCCTGCTGTGCCTGGCCCCTGCCCCCTGGCATGTCCCCTGCCTGTCCCCTAAGGTTGGCCCAACACCATGCCACCTCCTCGGGGCTGCTGCCAGTCCCATGGGGAGAGGGATGAGAACGGAACAGGCTCCAGCACATCCTCTCTGCACGGTTCATGGCAGCAGCGGGGTGCCCCCTGCACCCAGCTTTTGGGAATGCCAGACAGCCCCGTGGCAGTGGGGGGCACGATGGGCAGTCCTTACCTGCTGTTGAATTTCTCAGGGTGCTTTTCTCGCATGACGTGGAAGCGGTGGGCAATGGAGGCATCCTGGGGGGAGAGGGAGGGCAGAGATGTTGGCAACGGAAACCCCACTCTGCACGCCACCGGCACGCGCCAGGATACGGGGGCTCAGCTCTTCGCCCCCATGGCACAGGGGCCGTGCCGAGGCGATGGAGGCACCCTCAGCCAGGCTGCTCACAGAAGCATTGAACGGGCTCGTTAAGTAAGACATAATTAGTGCATTTGGCCTCCTGCCCTGGTCACAGGGGCTCTGAATGGAGGTGATGCCAAGGGAGGGAGGAAGGGTGACCAGTGGGGCAGCAGGGACACCGTGGGACCCTGCACCCCGACAGTTCCCCTGGCAGAGCGGCAGCTCTCCTGAAACTCATCCCAACCGCTCCTCTGCGGAGTCAGGGGACGTTCAAGCCTGACTTAGAAGCTGTCACCAAATGCCACCTGTAGTCACATCCCCTGAGCTGATGGGAAACTAAAAGCATCCCACAGGGGTGACCCACATCAGGTACACCATGGAGAAAAAAGGAGAAAAAAGCTGCAAGACCCTGGGAAAAGAAGCACTTTCCACTTTGCCATTCCCCCAAAGCCCCACTGCTCCCATGATCCACTCCTAGGGCTGGGGAAAGCCACCCCCATCCTCCCAGGGCTCCCTACAATCACCGCGATAGGAAAACTTGGGGGAATGCAGGTCCAAGCACTAAAGCCGGGCATTGCAGATGGCTGCCATCCCGGCCAAAGCTTCAGGTGGGGCATCCAACAGATCTCGACCCATCCCCAGGACCCCAAACTTCCCTGAACCCTGTTTAAGCTCCTTGCACACTTGCTCTTGCAACATTCCCAGGTGGGAAGAGAGAGATATTCCATCCCTGTTGATGCATTGAGGCACTGTCATTACAAAGGACAATAAAACCAGAAAATGAATGCCAGGAGATGGGGGGAGGTTGGGAACATGAGCAAGGAAGAGCAGGGAGGGAGAGTCCCAGGCTTGGGAGACTAAAGCTCAGATGCAGAGTTTCACCAAAGACTTAGAAAGGCTTTTACAGTCTCTGAGGAACATCACCAGGAACCAGCCCCTGCTCCTTGTGTACTGGTGTCAGCTGGGACACAGTTCACTTGCTTTCCAGCAGCTGGTGTGAGGCTGGTTTGGGTTTGTGCTGAGCAGAAGCTGATCACACACTGATGGGCAGAGCTGCTGCCAGGACAGTCAAGGACTTTCCAGCTTCTCTGCTGTGCCCGTGTCTGCAGGGGCAGGAGGAGCTGGGAGGGAGCACAGCCCCAGTGACCAGCCCAGGATTCGACCTCAGGTTTAGGACTGAGACCCAAACTGGCCACTGGTCTGTTCCATCCCATGCCCGGCATGGCCAGGAGAGAGGTGAGGCTCTGTCTGGAAGGGCTCTCTCCTGCTCCAGGTTGTCTCCCTCTGAGTCACCCCTCTCTCACGGCCCCTTAGTCTCAAGACCCTTGGGCTCGTGTCTCTGTTCTGGGATTGCGGTTTGGGACTCTCCCTGCTTCGGGATCGTTAGCTGGGAACAGGCTGAGCCTTGGTCATCAGATGGTGAGCAGTGTCACTGTGTGTCACTCATTGGTATATTTATATATATCACTATTATTATCATAATTATTATTATTATTTCCAATACTATTGCAGTTTAGTTATTCATCTGTTCTTATCTCAACCCACGAGTCTCTTTTCCTTTCACCCCTTTAATTCTCTCCCCATCACTGGGAGTGGGAGGGGGGAGGGCAAGTGAGCGGCTGTTTTGTGTAAAACCACGACACCTGAAAATTAACTTGGGACTAGCTTGGAAGAGGGAAAAGGCTGAGTCTAGGACGAGAGCTGGAGGGAAGCATGGGGGTCTGGCATCCCTTGAGCTGCACCAGGCTGGATCGCTCCAGCCACTTCCCAGCAGCCAAGGCATTTCCATTTGGCTGAGTGCGAAATATCCTGGGGAATCCCCCGATCCGGGTGGGTTTGAGGCTGTGGCTGCGCTGGGGACCCAGGGGACAGCCCTCCTGACTATGTGCTGTGCTCCAGGCTGCCCCATGGCACTCACCACCCCAATGGAGAAGTAGTTGTTGATGATGGTGGAGGGGACAGGGTCTCCGTTGTCCTCTGTGTCGCTAGGAACAACATCGATATGCCAGCGGTCCAGCATCACCTCTGTGCTGTGCTCGATGTCTTTCAGGACCTTCATCAGGTTGCCTCCTTCATAGCCTGGAGGGAAAAAGGAGGTGGGCTGAGGAAGAGGATGAAGGAGGATGAAGGGGAACAGAGCCGCTGGAGCACCAGCGAAATGCCCAGCGCATCCTTGCAGTGGTGACAAAGGTTCTCCCTAACAGCACAGCTCTCCCACATAAAAAAAAGGTTGTTGGGCAGGAGCTGGCTGATGAGGGTTTAGAAAGCAGTGGCTTTTTTTGGAAGGGGTTAGAGGCACCATCAGGAAGAACCAGGGCTGAGATGCAGCCCCGAGCCTATCCCGAGAGCCCAGGGACCCTTCTTTCCTCAGGATGGCACTCTCTGAGCCACATGGGACAGTCCCCGTGGGCCCTCCTTCCCCAGGACAGCACCCCCTGAGCCACACCGGATGGTCCCGGTGGTCCAGCCACCCCCTGGGCTATGCTCCCCCCACCTCACCTCCTCCCCAGCGCAGACACCGGGCCAGGTCGTTGCCTGTTCCCAGGGGCAGGACGGCCACCGGCGGGTGTTTTGCCAAGTTCGCCTTGTCTGGAATTCAAGGGGAGAAAAGAGGTTTGGGGCTGGAAGAGCTCATTCCCTGCTCCTGGCAGCCCTGGGCGATGCTGTTGACAGGACCCTTTGCCCTGCTCTCGCCGAGGGAATATCAGGACCCCACAGCAGATCACTGAGGACATGGGCGGATGATGCTCTGTGGGAGCACGGCTGGTGCTCCCTCACCTATACAGTCCAGGATCCAGCCCACCGTGCCATCCCCTCCGCACGCCAGGACGCGGAAATCCGGAGTATCCCGAAAGAAGCTGAGCCTGGAAAAAGCCAGGAGAGACAAGGGGTGAGGTGGGAGAGCAGAGGCCAGTGGGAGGGGGGCAGGGTACAAGCTGCAGCATCTCTGTACCCCGGTGCGGGCCCACCACGGTCCAGGTTGTACACTTGGCGCGGGTTGAGCAGATAGTGAAATTTCCGGAGGACTCTAGAAAAAGAAAGGAGTGAGGGATGCTCGGAAGGAGAGCAGTGCCGGGGCAGCCAGAGGTGCCCCTGGCCCTGGGGGGGATGCTCTCCCTCCCCAGGCAGGACCCCACTTACCTCTCCCCTTGCCTTCCTCCGCTCTTGGGGTTCACAAACACCAGGAGGGGATGCGTCCCAGGCCGGGGGCTGATCTGGAGGGCAGAAAGCACGGCTGTGGATGCCTGGGCTCAACGCGCACCCGTGGCAGAGCTCACCAGCAGCCCAGCGCAGGATCCTACCTGCAGACCTTGCCCGTCCCCTGTGGAGTTGAACTTGAAGCCCTGGTTGTCCTCGGGGCTGGTGCTGGCAGGGGAGTCACTCTCTGACCGCCGGCAGTGGGACTGCCTGTCCTTTGGGGAGCGGAGGCAGGGATGCACACGCCGCCCCAAGCAGGCAGCACCGGCAGCCCTGGGGGAGGCAGAGCTGGTGGCAGCGATGCCCAGCCGGGTCCCCACTGGGGAAGGAGGGGACACTTACCAGGACGACAGGGCAGATGTAGGAAGGCAGCAAGATGTGGTCCCGCAGCGGGCCCCCGTCGCACTCCGGCTTCACG